ATGTAAAAGAACGCGTGCTCTCTCCGCCGATCTATTCATAAGAACGAAAAGGAAGAAGACGAAAATAGAATTAAGAAAAACACACACCCCCGCAACCGCCGGAATTGACTAAGGCATTTTTACGAGGCATTTGTCGTGTAATATTTTCACGCTCGCCAAGCTCCACGACGCCGCCGGCAATTGCTAAGTAAAAAAAAAAACGCCCGGGGTTCATTTGCATAATTTAGCATATCCTAAAATTAACAAGATAAGCATCAAACAATACTGTACAAATGCGCCGACACGCGAAACGTTTTCTGTTGCCTCCGAGGACACGTGACCGGGACAGATGTGAGAGCTTTGTCTGTTTGGAGGAAGGATGCAAGCGAGCGGCGCCACAGATGGGCAGGCGGGATGCGGGTAGGTGATGGCGCGTCTCTGTTGCTCTCTCTCTCTCTCTCTCTCTCTCTCTCTCTCTCTCTCTCTCTCTCTCTCTCTCTCTCTCTCTCTCTCTCTCTCTCTCTCTCTCTCCTCTCTCTCTCTCTCTCTCTCTCTCTCTCTTCTCTCTCTCTCTCTCTCTCTCTCTCCTCTCCTCTCTCTCTCCTCTCTCTCTCTTCTCCTCTCTCTCTCTCTCTCTCTCTCCTCTCTCTCTCTCTCTCTCTCTCCCTCTCTCTCTCTCCTCTCTCTCTCTCTCTCTCCCTCTCTCTCTCTCCTCTCTCCTCCTCCCTCTCCTCTCTCTCTCCCTCTCTCTCCTCTCTCTCTCTCTCTCTCTCTCTCTCTCTCTCTCTCTCTCTCTCTCTCTCTCTCTCTCTCTCTCTCTCTCTCTCTCTCTCTCTCTCTCCTCTCCCTCCCTCCCTCCTCCCTCTCTCCTCTCTCTCTCTCTCCTCTCCTCTCCTCTCTCTCTCTCTCTCCCTCTCCCCTCTCCCCCTCTCCTCTCCCTCTCCTCTCTCCCTCTCCCTCTCTCCTCTCCCCCTCCCCCCTCTCCCTCCCTCCCCTCTCCCTCTCCCCTCTCCCCCCCCCTTCCTTCCCTCCCTCCGCGCGTGCAACCACAAAGTTCGCAAAACTGAAACAGCTTCCCTACTTACGGCTCACATTGCGGTGCCGGCGAATTCCGTAGGTATACAGCGCGATACACCAACACTCCCACTCGGCCTGTGTACACGTCGAAGGCCTCCAGCTTGTTCCGCCAACGCACTGGGTGTCGCCGGGTCGGGTTTTTTTACACTCGGTAATGTATTCGGAAAGGCATAATAGGGAGGTCTGGAGCAAGTGTGACTCTCCGACCCGAGGAATATACAGGCTTCCCTTCCCGAGGCTACGACGCGTTACCTCGCTCTCGCCTTTGAAGTCCTAAATGGCTTCAGATAAATATTTTTGTTGTATATATATGTTTGTTTTTCGTTTTTGTTTTGTTTTTTGCGTCTCTTTTTGAGAATTTGGCAAATAGGAGGGAATAGATAGAGAGTAAGGAAGCTAATGAAAAGGAAATAGAGACAATTAGAGAGAGCATTCTTTCAGAAAAGCCGCGGTTTAACCTACCGCGCCGGCCGGTCGTTCCTGTACATTGTTACAGTGGCAATCAGGAGTGCAACCTGGCCGGGCCGTCCGCTTCCACAGCCGCATGTAAATGACACTCGCGCTCACAACACTATTATACGTTGTTCGGTCGTTTGAGAGAAATTCTTGGGGGGATAACGATTACTTTTCCTCTCAACACAGCCAGGATTATAGACGAGGCTACACTGACGGACCCCATTACGTTCCTATAACCCCTGACGAGTCGATAAAATGGCTTCTCGCAAGGACAATCATATTCACAGGAAATCAAACCTCTAATAGCCCATTTGTCGCTGTTTTTCGATCTCCCGCGGAGACGCCAACGCGCACTTTGTTTCGGATTTATCCAGTCGCAACGAGCTGGATAATCCGCTCGTGGGTGATTACCCTGTGTCCCGAACGACTGTAGGTACACGCGGAAATCACCTATAATGCGGAACATGAAACGGGGAGAAAGAAAAGGACATGTGAGACATGACGAAAGCGTGTGGGAAACTTGTTCGTGACTGGCAACTCCGGCTTACTAAAATATGGGGTCTGCACTCCTTGTCCGCGTTGCCGGGTGTCGCCACGCGGAACAACTCGCCGCTCCTTCATTTTAAATTTTATCACGCATGCATTCGTATTTTTACACCGAATGCGGCTACAGAAGAACAGGAAGGGAAGGAAGGGAGACGATGAGATGCGTCTGATAAGCTTAAATTGTAGCGATTATATCAAAGTTCGTAATGATAGTTTGGTCTTGAGGACTGGCTTACGTGGAAAAGGTGTGTGTGGTAGCGAGGTACTGCGACCATAACACAGGACGGAGTGGTCTACCAGGCACCCTCCAACACACGGTTCTGCTTTGTTTATTGGCTTGTTTCTCGTCGCTAACTGAAGGAGATGAACACTGGGGTTAAAGACCAGAGAAAAAAATAAAGAGGCTTGATATATAAGTGACGATAAACATAGTCGGCACCCTCAGAGGCGGAATCAAACGTAATGCCAAATGTGCAATGATGTTGATATTAACACATCTACGTTTCCTCGTCTCTTTTCCGAAGTCAGAACGCAATCCCACAAAAGTCGGAATAAAGAGCCAGGGTCCCGTTCCTCCCCCCCCCTGCCTCCCCTCCCCCACCCCTTCGCTCCCTCTACGCAGCTAATCAGCCTAAAAGCACGATGGTAAACAGCCCCGCCGCTCCAGCTGTGCATTGCGTGATGATCGAGGAGGCAAAGCGACGCCCACCTGCGTGTTCTCCCGCGAACGACAAAATGGCAAACGCTTTATATATAGGCTGAATCACGTCTCCCTTTATTAGAGGCAAAAAATGCTTTCCGTAAGCGAACTTTGCCCGACTCTCGTCCTGCGGCCTTCTGCTTCCTTAAGTTGGCAGAGGCGGGGCTTCGCGTCTCTCCTCCGGCAGGCGATAATGGTCCTTACGAGCGCGCTCCTTTCTTGGCGTCCGAGCTCGTTTGTCGCTCCCGCCCGGACGCGGAGAGCGACTCGCGGCGGCGGCGTCCCTCGCCCTGGCGGAGGCTTCGTCTGAGGGCTCCTCGAGGCTCGTCCGAAGGCACATCGGGAGCGAGAACTGATCCCTGGGCATATACCATGCTGCAGTGTACGGTGTGCTTATGATTGAATACGAATTATTTACATTATTCACACGCATACACATGTATGTATTAATGTGCGCACACACACACACACACATTTATAGGTGTGATATATATATATATATATATATATATATATATATATATATATATATATATATACATACATACATACATATATATGATACATGTACATATGTGTGTATGTGCATGTATTTATGTGTGTGTATATATATATATATATATATATATATATATATATATATATATATATATATTACATACATATAGATATATATAGATACATGCATATATATAATATACTATATATATACATATGCATATTTACATCAAAACACACACACACACGTATACATATATTGATGTGCATATGCACACGCGCACACAAATATGTATGTGTGTATGAATATATGTATATATATATATATATATATATATATATATATATATATGTAATATATATGTATATATATGTATATATATATATATATGTATATATATATAATATATATATATATATATATATATATATATATATATATATATATATATATATATTATATGTGTGTGAATGCTTGCATGCCAAGATATAATATTCGCGCTCATGTTGACATATGTTTGTAAATAATTACACCCCCGGTGCATGCGCACACATTTCACACATGTTAACAGGCAATATTCGTGTCTCCGCGCCCGCACATTTGCATATAAATCCCCGCCCGCCCGCGCGTGTCCGAGCCCAAGCCGCGTCTCTGGTTCCTCCCGGAGCCCTCGGCCTGTCGGTCGCCCTCCCGAGGCCGCCCATCGAACCCGAGCCATCGGTCAGTCAGTCGGGCGAGGGCGTGTGTGTCCGCGGCCCGTAAGTCGCAAGTCGGGCCCGGGTCTGCCTCGCAGACCGCCGTCCGCCGCCGGTCCGCTGACGGCGAGTTCTCACGGCATGGCGTGAGTGAGCGTCCCGCCGGATACGGAACGGCTCGCTAATGCTGCCGTATTTCGAGGTCTTAGCGATCTCGTATTCCCGTCGGTTGTTTAAAGCGGTGTTTGTTTTCATCAATCTTTTGTTTGATATTAGTTACTTTGTAGCGCTCGGCGATTTTTAATGTAGATTATGCTATTAATAGTTATGCTTTTCTGTGTTTACCGTAGGCTTGCAAACCTTCCTGGTTCTTTCTCCGAAAACCCGATGACGCAACATACAAACACATATATATTCGTTTACATTACAGACCTCTGATGTAAACGTATATATACAAATGCGCACATACACAGAAAACTCCCTCTGTTTACCCTTTATGTATATTTCACCAACACTTGCAAGAACCGCAAACTCTCGTCATGGAATCGCTTTAAGAGGCGCTGAGTGAAAGCTTCATCTAAATATTTTCATGAACTTCGCGCAGTCTAGACACAAGCCATATCCCACCACGCGGCCCTTTGTTGAGATCACGCCCCTGGTCATCGGCGTGGGCGTGAGTCACTGTGGCAATCGAAATGCATCCGCTTGTGGGCTGCCCGATGCGCGCCATTGCTTGCGTTGCTGCTTCTAAAGTCAATTTTTACGCTTCCCTTCATTGGTTAGGGAGATGAGAATTGTATAATTCTTAGAAATAACGACAAAAGTAGAACGATAAAAAATAAACTCCATATCAAATATAGTCGACGCTTTATTCGGTTTAATAACATGCCAGCCTCCCCCCCCCCAAAAAAAAAAAAAAAAATGTATTATATATAAGAAACCCATCTGCACACATTCAACTCCGTTGCATTAAAATTTTTTTTTTTTTTTTTTTTTTTTATCCGACCCAAATCCCCATATTAACCAAACCCATTTCTTCTCCCGCCAG